GCATCCTCCCTCCTTCCTGCTCTCTTAGGAACACCAGCTGTTTATTATAGTCTGTATGTCATGGTGATGTTGGAAGTGGGTATACTTTTAAGGAGACTGCAAAAGACGTTGCAGTGTAGGGTTTGTTAGAGTTTGCTCCTTGGAGTTGGCCTTGAGAAGTCTCGTTGCCTACTCTCTAGAAGCACTTCCAATACACTAGGATGCCCAAAGCAAGATGAGAGCCTCTACATGACGCAGGAAACTCCAGGACAGGTAGAGCTGCTGGTTATTCTCTCCCTACTGGCATCCTCCTCTCCTTTCATCAACTCGAATCACTTCTCTTCCCATTGCCTCCAGCCTCCTCTGCCCTTTTGGCGATTCTCTGCGCTCTTCCCCAGCTCTCTTCCTTTCTTCTCTCCTCCCTGGTCCCTCTACCTGTTGCAGATTGAGGTCAGGGGGCAGCTCCCGATGCTCTTGGGCCTTGCGCAGGCTGTCCAGTACGCTGCTTCCCGTGGGACAGTGACGCGTGAGAGTGAGCACCGCATCGTGGGCCCTGCGAAGCTGTGAGCTGTTGGCGAGCGCGGCCAAGGCGTCTGGCCCTGGAGACAAGGCGTAGTGGAGAGTGTCGAAGGGCAAGAAGACCAGGGAGCCATCGGCCAGGCCCAGCTCCTCTGCAGCCTCCAGTAGACGGCGCTGCTCCTCGCCGCCCAGCAGCACCGAGTGCATCACCATGATCACTGCTGCGGACACACAGACTCGGCTCGGTGCTCTGCTCGCTGCCCCTCAGGACGGCCGACCGCCCACATCCTGCAGGGGAGCCTACCTCTGACTCTGGGCCCATCCCGGACCCTCCTCAGGGCTTCCCGGGCCCCAGATAGGTCCGAGGGCTCCATGGAGGTCACCAAGGCAACGGGCAGGCCCCGGGCCCTGAGCGCGGTGGACAGTGCGCGTCCCGCCTCCACCCACAGGTCCTGGGGGGCGGTGACCAGGGCCACGTGCGCCCAGCGGAACGCGCGCAGGAGGGCGTAGAGGGCATCCGCCGCGGGCGTCACCGCGGGAGCCGTGGTGCCCGTCGCCCGCGTCCCGGGGCAGCCCCAGGGCACCAGCGCGACCCCAGCCTCTTGGGCCAGTAGCTCAGCGGGCCGGCAGGCTGCGGGGTTTACCGGCCCCACGAGGCCCGAGACGCGGGTGAGCGCGGAGGACACCGCCCCCAGTGAGCCCGGCGTCCGGCACGGCTCGGGCAGCAGCGCGACCTCGAAGCGGGGGCCGCCCTTCAGGGCAGCGTCGTGGTTCAGGCGGGCAGCGGCCAGGCGGGCGGCCAAGTCCGGGCGGGCACGGGCGAAGATGGGGTCGCAGGCCCAGGGTCCCAGCACCCCAACTGTGAACGCGGCGGAGAGGGCGGAGCGCGGCAGGAGCAGCAGCAGCAGCAGGAGCCGCAGCGGAGGCCGGGGCCCCGGCGGGGTCCGGGGAAGGCGGGGCGGAGACGGAGCCCAGTGCGCGGGGGCGCGGAGCCCACGGTCCCGAAACCCACCCGCGAGGAGGGCGCAGGCGGTCATTGCCGACTTCTGGGAGCATTGGAAAAAAAAAATCAGGATGAGCGGTTGCGATCCCCAGAGCTCTCTGCAACCTCCAGTTTCTCAAAGCCCAATTAACCCGCGGTGTGTCTCTGCTTTCAAACTCCACTCCGCCTGCCGGGACGACTACATGGGGTCAGGGGCATAACCTGGAAGGACCCCCTTATCTCCGCCTGCTCTGCTCCCCGCTCCCCCTTGTCCGCCCCTCCCCCGTCTCAGAGCCATAGAAGGCCGGTGGGGACACTCCTACGCCCTTCCATCGTCTCTCCCCAGCAGAAGGGACGTGGAGTCCGTGTGGAGGGGGCTTTGCCACTCACCAGAAAGTCCGGGGCTCGGGCCCAGGGCCAGGGTGAGGGGGTCACAAGGCCGATCCTTCTGACGCCCTCCCACAGGTCTCCTTTGCCAGGGCCCAGGGCGGGGGGGGGGTGTGGGAACAGCAGGCCAGAGCCCTTAATCTCTACAAGCTGATTAGGGTCTCTTAATCAGGCAGGGAGGGGCTGATGGAAGATGGGGCTCACTGGGGTGGGATCTGTCCTAGCTTCCAGGCAGCCAGCCAGATT